TGTTACTTCTAGTATATTTTGTCGAGGGTGGTTTCTTGTCAGATTTAGGACCTGTGTGTTGGAAGTAATTGAGAGCCACAGGATGAAGTGAAGGGGAGCAGAAGAAACTCGCATTCGCCAGAAGGTTTGGGTCGGTGACGTTCAACCTGCTCATCTGTAACTCTATTAGATGCCTTCTACTTCTTTCCATTGTAGCAAAAAGAATCTCTTTTGAAGAATCCATTGACGTTGAGATTGAAAGCGTACTGAACTTTTATTTTTTTACTTTTAGATCTGAAAAAGACTTGCGTATTTATAATTGTTTGTTGATAAGATGATTATTTGTTTTCCAGTTCCATCGCTAAATAGAATATGAAAATAAAAATTTGTAATGCTTGTTATTATCTTTTTCTTATACGTTTTATTCAGATAGCATTTTTTAGCATTTTACATAAGCTTTATTTGATTCTTGAGATAAGATGTATTTGTATTTCAAAATAAGATCACAATCCTTGAAGAAGTTAGTTTGGATTAAGGGATTTGTCTACACTATCGAAAACTTTTCTTAAAGTTGGTCTATTAAATTCTTTTATTTTAGATTTTTTTTTTCTCTACCACACTATTATGGTTAGAATTCTATTTTTTTTTAAATATAATAATTTTTAAATTAAATTTTTTCTAATTTTTTTAATTTAATTTTAATAATATTAATTTTAAAAAAATAAAATAATATCGTTTATATTTAAACTTATTTCACATTCTTGTTTCAATATTAAACATCTCATAATTAAAAGTTTAAATTTTTTTCTTTTTTCTCTTCTAAGCATTCACACAAAGTTTAAATAACACACTTTTAAGTTATTTAATTAAAATTTTCAAATTTGACATGAAAAATAAAATAACAGTTTTAATTTTTTAAATGATATTTTTTTTACTGGAGTTTAATAAATATGATAGAACATTAAGTTACATAATTCAAAGCAACTTATAAAAAAAACAAACTAACGAGGAGTAAGATTTTTGGATGATCTATTAAGACCCTGGATCCACTCGGTAAAAAAGACATTGAATACTGCGGACATTTCTGCTTTCCTCACGCGCGCGCACATGTATATAATTTTTTAAATTATAATTGACAAATTCTAACCTTTTTATAATTTTTAATATTTTTAAAAAAATCATCACTGAATTTATATATATATATATATATATATATATATATATATATTTTATTTTTTTTTTTATAGCTTTTCGAGGATTTATCTCTAAAATTTTTGAATTTACAAAAACAATCTTCAGTGACAATTTTTAAAACTTATATTTTTATAATTCTTTTAAAAATTACATTTTGATACATATTATATAAAATAATTAGTTGCGATATTTTTTTCATAATTATATATATTAAATATAAAATAGTTTGATGTTTTATTTTATTTTTTATTTTTTGAAAAAACTACTGTGAATTAAAATAAAATTATTTATAAATTTTAAAATTTTTTTAAAATATATAAAATATTGTGAACTTGATTATTTAATATGAGTTGTTATTTTAATAATTAGACTGATAAAAATTTAAGTTTTAAAAAAATTAAATAAAGTAAGTTATTGAAAAAACTAGAGCTAGTAAATCCATTTTCATGTTCAAATACTAAGGTTTTATTTTTATTTTGATAATATATTTATATTTTACTAGAATATATTACATAAATAACGTTTTAGATTGAAATTTCAATAAAATTAAGTCAAGTTTCATACATAATTTATCAAATAACACAGTATAAAATAAAATTTTGGATTAAATTTATTATTTAAATTGTTGGCATATCTATATAGAGAGAGAGAGATTTACAAATGATACTTTTAGCAATAGCCTTACAGAGACTCTTTGGTAATTATATAGTTTTCTGATAAAAATAATATTGTAAACGGAAAATTACATGATAACAACGATGACATACGCCATTTCTTTGTTCTATATACAATGGGTATCGATGCCCACCCAAACTCAAATATAATAAACAAGTTAACTTAAAGTATGTAAATATCAAAAGGGAAGTTATTCAAGAACATATGGAACTCTTTTTACTCCAGGAACAAGTAGAAAAAAATTGATTAATAACTAACCAATTTTCTAATTATTATCTTTTAAAATCTTTTCTTTTAATTTGAATATAATTAATAATATTATATTAATTCGAATATAAAATAAATAATAAAATAATAAAAAATTCATGATTATTAAAGATTTATATATAGAAAGGGATAAAACATAAATTGTATATATATATAAGATAAGTTATTCTTCTAAATAAAGTTTTAGTGGCTCTTGCTCAGTTCAAATCATTCAAGATATTCTATTTTTAGAAATACGGAAATAAAAGGAAATATATAGACAAATTATTTGCGTCCAATAGGATAAATAAAATATACGCAATTAACTATAAAAAAAATGGAAAACAATGGCAAATAAACAAAAAGATAATAACATTTTTTTAAAACAATAATTATAGTAAGTATCTGGTCAAGATAATAATAAAATATTATTACTTTTTTAATTTGATGGACTCTTGATAGAATTATATATATATATATATAATTTTTTTACACTGATATGAGTCTAAAACTTTTTACATTTAATCTAAATTTTTCATTTAACTTACATCTAATGAGTTATAATTTATTATTTCACTGATTGTTAGATATAAGTTAAATGAAAGATTTAGATTAAGTGTAAGAGTTTTTAATCTTATACCAGTGTAAGAAGATTCTTCCCCATATATATATATATATAATAGTAAGTAAATATCTCATCAAATTAGTGTTTTGATATTTTATTTTATTTTTTATTGGTTTTATTTATGAATTATTACGGTAAAAAGTTATAACAATTGAAAAATTAAGGTCAAATTGAAAAAAAAAATATAGGACTTATAAAAAATTAAAAGACCAAAACAAAAGTTAGAATTTATTTTAGAAATTAAGTTTAGGAGAAGAAAAGAAAAGAATATATTTAATGATAATTATACGAAGATTTTTAACCTTTCAAAATTTTTGTTCTTTTTTTAATTAAAAATTAATTAAGCAACATAATGTTACTATAAACTTAAAAAAGAAAAAAGGAAAAAACTAAAGCTATCTCTTAACCTCATTCCTAAATTGAATGGAGAAATAAGTCCAAACTTACGAAATGTAGATTTTCACATACACTAAGCACTTGGTTATTTAAAATAATTCCAATGCAGTTTTGGCCAAAACTAAAAATATCATCTACAACGCTAATGCCAATACATGCACACTAAACTTTTGAAGTGAGTTGAGGCAAATTTTCTAGAAGAAAATGCTGATTATTTTAATTTGGCACACTAAAAGCAAAAATACTTCGTGCACATTTATTAGTGTCAAGTAATTCACATTTGGGTAAGGTGGTAGCAATGCAGTCCCAGTGTATAGGGAACGAAATGACATTATTTATAACATAAAATTTAAGTACAATTACTAATTACAATTTGAATTTTATTTCAATAATCACTGTTAATATTAACTCTAAATATTTTATTAAAATAAACTCTGTTTTTAATTGATAAACAACACCTAAATTTTTTCCTTAGTTTTAATGAGGTAATAAAACTATACTGATGCGAGATAAAGTGTGCATAAATAGGTATAAATAACATTATTTGTCTTTAAAAAAAAAAAAACGAAGTAGAATGGAGAAGAACAATATACAGATGCACATCGTCTTGAAGAAATATAATTTAAAGTGAAAGTTTGAAAGTGTTGAACTAGCTGGAAGAGCAGTGTCCATCAAGAAGAAAATTTTACTAAGATAGAATTTAATTACATTCAAGAGCAGTTGTCAAATAAAATAAAAGGGGTAAAGAAATCAATTTTCTAAATTAATATCACTACTCATTTATTTAAAGAAAGATCTTATCGACTAATATATTAAAAATGTCGAGTAAAGAATTAATTAATAAAAAACCATAATAATGCATGAAAAATTACAATAAAATCTTATAAAAATATATTCATAACACCCTTTAATAAAAAATATTTTTAATTCCTTAATAAAATCGTAACACTGGTTAGCATTCTCGATCCCTAAAGAAAAGTAGTATCACATTACACATCTTGTAAAATAGTACATCATAATATCAACAAATATAGAGAGAAGAAAGCGTAAAAGAATTATTTTTCAATAAATATAAAAGGGGTTTCTAAAAATACAATTAATCCAAGTTTCTTCTTCAAGAGTAAAGCAACAAGTTAACTGTATCTTTTAGTAGTGTTTCCTACTTATAATAATGTAATATATTTTTACTTACAAGCACAATTAATTAAAAAAATTCAAAACATTTTTCTTCTTAGTATTATCCAGGTCAAGCTAACTAGTCTTCTTAAAAGACTCATTCTATTGACTTTTTAAATTATTAAATATATATATGTTTTAAAAACTGTTAAATTTTATATTTCCAATATAATAGATAATTTCATTTTTCCATAACAAAATTCCATATGCCAAATTGTAAAGAAAATGTTATATAACAATAAATATATTTAATATCTTAAAAAAAAATTAAAATGTCGTTTGATTAATAAGTAAGAAAATTATTAAAAAAAAAAGAAAGACTGTATATGTTGAAAGAAGACTTTGAATCACTCTTCCAACTTGTGGAAGTCAGGCCAACTACAGAGAAGAGGAAATTCTTGGGAGCATGGAAGTGGAGAATGTCTGGTGTGAAATGCATGGAGTTGTCTAGTTTGAAATTTCACAACCTATTACCTGGTCCTATACACCTGAAATGATACATAGACGAAATGTCCCCTGTCACTAAAAGACAACAACATACGAGTCCGAGTCCTGCTTAAATTCCTATTGTGCGCTACAGATTTTGGCCAGACTTCATAGCCCACTTAGCAGTTATACACCATTTCAGGACTGTTGGTACTCTTTAACGTGAAGTGTCCACTCAACTCGATAAATATTCTTAAAAAAATAGTAAAATTCTTTGCATGGACCAAAGTTTCTTGAATTACCAACATAGAAAAACTACAAAGTCGAACATATGACCCAAACCATGAAATCAACCCCACACACATAAATCACCCAAATACAAGTAATTAATCTCACTCTCCTATTTCTCCACTTGCCATAACAAATGTTGAGTAAGTTAACAAATTAAAATGAAACCAATATTAGTTCCTTTCGCCAAGGACAGTAGCTTATACCAAGCAAATCCCCCACCCCATCTAACTAATCACAGTACATAAGAAAGTATTAAAAAAAGTGCATGTCATTGCATTGTATATACATTACAAAATTAACGAAAGACCAACTTACTAAACTATGGAGAGCTTGCACCAAAAGTTCTCCTTTTGATCTCCACAGGCATCAAACACTGTGCAGAGTCTACGGTGACACGATGAGAGAAGAGGATCCGAGGTTCCTCTCAGCGCAAAATAACCAATTCTCAACCTTGACACATAAAACTAACAGGCTGAAGCGTAATTCAATTGCAGCTGACATGATCGCTCCGATCCCAAACTCCTCTCATCTTTACCTTTTTAAGTATCAATATTTTTTCCCTTTTCAATGTAAGTAAACCAACCAACTCACTTTGACCCAAGAGCAAAAAAAGGTAGCAGTAATAAAGAGAATTAAATTAAGCCTAGAGCTAAAGAAAAGGACCAAAAGATGACCTTAATTAAACGATGGAGAGAGATATGTAGGTTCGAAAACGATGCATCATCTTTCTAGATCAGAGAAGTGACTGAAGGGCCAATATTAGGTTGATCACTCCAAGCACCCCAATAAAGCGAATTAGGATCAGACAAACCCACATGCTCCATCTGGTTCTGGCAAGCACCACCACCGCCACTATTATTGTTATTATTATTATTCCACTCCAACCTGTTTTGTCCTTCAACTTTCACGTCTTTTGAAGCCACCACCTCTACACTCTCACCGCTATTATTTCCTTCCATTTGCAGCTCCTCTAGCGTTGCTAATCCTTGGAAACCGTTGCTACCTTGATCACCCTTCAACCCACCACTGACAATTTTTTGTTGTAGCAAAGTAGAACTCAGCAAGGAGGCCATAACAGGAGTGGAAGGTGCACAAGTTGAAGAAGAACCAAAGATCGAATTATAAGCAGAAAGAAACGAGTTGCTGCCATTTGAAGTAAAACCATTTCGGTAACCATATTCGGTGGACATAACCCCAGATGAAAAACCTAACCCAAGAGCATTCATCTGAGGCTGAAAATTGAACCTTGGAAAAGCAAGGTTCATGACATCACAAGAGTTGCCGTTATTACCGTTACCGGGTAACCCATAAAACAAAGGGTTGATGATATGGTTTGAGGTGGAACTAGAAGCAATATTATCGATGTGGGAATGTGAAGGAGGGTTTGAATTGGAACTGGGAGTGGAAGAATTAGAAGGAGAGTTAGAAGAAGCATCAAGGTTTGGACGCTTGACACGCTTGTTTTTTCTGCAGCCACCACCAACGGGAACGTTCCTCAGAGTTCCACCTCTTGTCCAGTATCGCTTGCAGGCTTTGCAAAAGTGTCTTGGCTGTGACAAACTGTAGTTGTTGTAGTAGCAGAACTTGGTGTTTGATGAGTCACAACGAGGGCACTTGAGGGCTTGATGCTGCTGCTGCACAAGATCTTGACTTGGTTTCTCCATAACCCTTCCAGCGGAACCCATAGAGATTTTGTGATCATCTATTTGAGCCTGCAAAAATAAAGGTAATTAAGAAAAGAAGACGAAAAAAAAGGAGAAGAAGGAGATGAAAGAGAAAGTGTTTTAAGTTGGTGTTTTAGGGTAAAAATAACAACACAGTATCGATATTCTCTTCCAAGAGGAAAGCAACAAAATTGGGGTGGACATGTATTTGTCAAATAATTAAGAGAGAGACATGAACCTGTGTCCATTTGTTAGACGTTGTTGGAGGGATTATTGCCATTTTCTCACAGTTACCCAACATTTTTTTCTCTCTGGAATGAAATCGTTGAAAGCCGAGTAACAGACAAAGAGAGGGTGGCGCCTTGAGTTGCGCTTGAAATGGTGGAGACTGAGTGAGTGAATTGTTGTGGATAAACAGAGAGAAAGGGCGAGGATAACATGATGTGATGAACGTGATTAATTATTAATTAATTAATCCCCTAAGAATATAATCTATGTCAAAACTCAATTGTGAAGTTTCACGTGATGGGTTGGGTCTAAAATCCAATTTGGATGATTAAATATAATGGAATTGGAATAATGAAAAGGAATATAAAAAGAACATTCGAAATCCAAGAAGGGGACATAGAGGTAAAGCAGAATTGGGGATGAATCTTGAGTGGTTCAAGAAAGAAAAGAAAAGTGAGACGTATTTATATATATTCCAATGTTACATTCCTTTATATTGAGAGAGAGAGAGAGAGAGAGAGGATCATTTAGATAAGATAACCACATAGAGGGAATCCCTAAGAGCCCAATGCCCAAAGCATCCATGAGAGCAAATCCCACTTCTATTTTCTCTAATTATTAATTACTTTAGTAATTTTAAACGATAATACAACTTAAATTAATATAAACTTTTTTTTCCTTGTTGGTGGAGACGTTGAATATCAAGTTTTAGCTTGAACAAAACTATATGAAAGTTAATATGGCAAGTGCATGAACAATTTACAGATAAACAAGTACATCGACATAAGTATATTAGGCAATAAAGATTCTTTCTCTTCTTTGTAAAGGGATAAGTTAAACAAATTAAGAAAGTATAACATACTAAGGAAGCAGAGAAATGATGATAACAATAAATATGTGTTACGGACTAGAAATTCCAAATGAAAGGGACAAAAAGGTACCATGTGGGTATTTACATCTCAAGACTCGAGTAAAAGACCACTATGCAATTAAGACCCTCTTGCTCTGCGTGTTGTTTGTTCTCTCGTTCATCTTCACAAGAGAATTTTGTTATCACATTTTTTTAATAAAAAACATAAACCGTTAATAGAGTGTATATATATATATATATATATATATATATGTCAGAGTAAGGACGGTGAGAGAGTCATGAGATGGGGGCATGGAACCTTGATGTGCATAACCATGTGGTAGGCAGCTCAGCTTCAAGGGAAAAAGAATAGAAAAGAAAGATAAAGCAAATCACATAAATGGTTGCTTAAACAGATTTTGTAGTCATCCGAGGGATCTTCTCTTCCTCCCTACATCCCATCATTATTCTTCGAGGCAGTTAAATTCTCCATTAAACCTTGGTATCTGTTGTCGACAACATATTACCCTCTTTTTTTTTTTTTTAGTTAATATATTTAAGGCTGTACATGAGTTATATCGCATTCATCGTAAAATATTAAAATGTTTGATTAAGTGTTTCGTACTATATAAGCTGTATAATTTATATTTATTTTTTAATTTTTTTGTTAAGAAAATAATTAGGAAGATCCAATATACAATTACCAACAAAATAAAAGATAATAAGACCATGAATAGTTAATCATACGTGTAATTTTATATAAAAGTTATAACATGATTCTTTAAGTACAAGAAATACAAAATTGTCGCGTATAAAAAACTTATCCATGCGGTACTGATTTTCTGTAAAGATGATGAAATGGATTTGTCCACTGTAGAATTGACTACTTACCTTAACTTCACTATGGGTCATGATTTAAGTGGTACTATTTTCATGTGAGTGAAAAATAATGTAACCCACCTAATCAATGGTTACCAGCATAACAGAATCAGGGACATCTTAATGTTTGACTGTTAATGTAGAAGGATCAGTATCAACATAGAAAGTGATTGATGATGTACTTATTCTAAGAACAAAAAAAAATCCTATATCTTCTTATGATATTTTCTAAATAATTAAGGAGATTATTGAGAAGAGATTATAAGAAAAACTAGAATTATGGTTATTATTATTAGTGTTAGAAAGTAAAGTAACAAGAAAGAAGCACGCGAGAGCATATAAGGAGTGGCAATGGTGAAGGGGTAGAAATGCAATGTGGAGGTGGGTCCTTCCTACCCATCACCAGCGACAAGAGATTCCAATTTGGCAAAGAATGAAAGAAACCCAACGCGCACGTTAAAGGGAAGGGTGTGAGCGTAGAGAAAGGAGGGAGGGAGAGAGAGAGAGTAGACGTTTTGGGGACCAAAGCATCAAATCCAAGCCAACTGTATCCATCAAAAGGTGACCACAATGCACCCGAAACAATGTGCAGACATAGATCTCACTCTCCATTTGCTAGAGATTATTTGATTATGGCCACACCCCACTTTGTTGCTTGGGATTTTTCATGTCTGCACGTCAAAAGACTATGCTGCCCTCCTTTTCTTTTTTCTTTCCCTTCCAATGCCACTTACAATATCCACTGTTCCCTTCCCATAATTATATAAATCAAATTTAGGCCTATTCTTTTAAGTATCTCTGCAATTTTTACATTAATATTTTATTCTAATTAGTTATTACTTAAGCACTCAGAAGAGCTAATTAGTTTACATGTATTTAATGATAGTCGCTAGATAAATTCTTGCAAGAATTCCTACAAAATCAAGAAAATTTCTTCAAGGTAAATTACGGAATTTCTATTTTATACGAGCATTAATGGTCATAAGAATAGGTTTGTCATTTTTTATCCTTAGCATTATGACTATCATATACAAAATGTAATTAGTGTTTATACAATGTATTATGACGTGTCCAATGATATTTGTCAGGAATGTTAAATAGTATATATATACAACAGTTAGACCCTTTTGATTATAGTCAAATTAAAGGAATCTGTTGCCCTAAACGAGCTGACATGAATGGAGTGGATGACCCATTTTACTGGTTTTAGTTATATGCTTCTATATATAAGGTGCCCAAATCCCTATTTTTGTATTGATCATTTTTGGTGGAGTTCAGACTTCTTAATAAAGACTTTTATATATGAATTTGTAAATAAAGGTATGAAATGAGTTTCATTTTTAAAAAAATAAAAGACTCCTCTCGACATGAAGTAATTGGAATTCAACATGATGTTCGGATACAGACAATTTTAGAGGAAAATCACGATTTGTTTTCTCAATTATTTCTATGTCTATATATATATATATATATATATATATTATGCTAAAAGGAAGTAAATTTTATGATGGTCTAAGAAAGAATGTGAATGGAATTTAGCGGAGCTTCATATTCCATATAGTGATCGGTGGACTCATACATCATGTACCTCCTGTACTTACGCACAGACAGTGATGACCGTCCTATAATAATCCAAAAAGTATTAGCCCACAAGAGGCAAACACATGCCAAGGTTCATCATTACTTAACTGGCAAATTTGAAATTTGATGGTAAAAAAAGATGGGGTTTTTCAGACGAACATATCTCCCAACCATAATTCATTTCATTGACAATCTGGGTAGATTATAAATCAAGGGAATAATTCAGAAATCATATGATTGCTTTGCAAACCTTGAGGTTTGGAGCATCAAATAAAATATATCTGCCATGAAACAAGTATGACTTTGAGGCGATTCACCAGGACTATGCATTGCACGTCATCAATTGGTTCCCCAGAAACTCTTCCAATGAACTAAATATAATAAAAAAGTCTTGTCCAAGATACAATAATATAGAACATTGATGCTATTCACTTTCTATTGCCATCAATAACAACAAAACAGAATGACTGCAAATTTACATATATTGTATCCATTTATTTTTTCTTCTTTAAGTATCTTGTTACTGTTTATTAAAATTATTCCTACGACATGTTTTTTCGTGTATAACTTTCAAATCTCATCATAACATGCGTTAGAGGTTTAAAAATCTTATTATAAGGCTTTGATCGTCAAATTTTTTTTAAAATTGTTTATACCCCTGATATGGGTACCGAAGTAATTTAATAATTGATGATTTGATCATAATAAAAAGTAATTAATCAGCAATTAATGAACAGTCACACCTGGAAACTGGGCCATAAGCAGCAAGCATAGAAAATTCCAGTAAGGCATTGGTCATACGCGGTCTTTTAACAACAGAATCTACCATTTAAATCAAACACTTTTGGCTTGGACTGTTGCTTATGGAAGTTTCAACTATCTTCAATCCTGTGGGACCTTGAGAATGTTGGGGAGGGATTATTCTACAGTATTATATATATTAAGATGCCTTATCACGACTATTTAAATATTTTCCACTATCCCTTGGAATGGGTGTGGAGCCCATGGTGCTAATCTCAAAACTAAGCAGTTGAAATCAATTTGGATTGAGATTCTTCTTCTTTGAGAACAGTAATGTAATAACAGGTTTATTAATTATTGTTATTATAGTATGAAATGAAAGTAGGGGAAAAGAATAGAAAAGACTAATGGTGGCATTCTGACATGAGAGGTTACTAGCTCCCAACCTGTCCACAGGTCATATATGCAGATATAGAATTTATGGCAGAATAGTTATATGAATAATGAATGACTAATGATTTTTATGATCATACCTTGGCAATTATGTGCTTACTACATTCCGTTTATTTGTAGTATTCTTACCGTTATAAACTGTAGCCGCTAAGCCTACGATGTGTGTGGCCAGATAGATAGCATAATAAATTTTATACCTTCAGCTTGTCATGGGCCCTGCTTAGGATTTTTGAGGAAAGAGAATAAAATTAGGTCCACAAGCCTTAAACAGCAAGGTTCCATAGATAATCCCCCACTCATGATGATGGGGTGTAATCCAATCAAAACCACAAGTTAAGTACTCTCAATCAATCAGGATTTTTATTACTTTATTTTTCAATTTGTGAGAGGAAATTCTCTGACTACAATTACAACTTTCCTTCCAAATGATCCTAACAATAATAGGAAAATTGCTGGGCACAAATGAGGAGTCTCAAGTTTGACTGAACTAACCTTATTATTATTTATCTAAAATGTACTGCATCTTGGCAATAACATATTGGATTGGTCCATTCTTTTGATCAAATATGATTTTGTTTTCCACAATACGATTTCCTACTCTATAAAAGAATATTAACAAGGAGTGACCTTAGAGATATTGCATGAATCTCGTTAAAAACTCCGAGCACCAAAAGCTAAATTATGACTTATTAACAAATGACAACAACACAAGGACGGGATCCACAAAAACTTCTAATTACATTAATTGTATTTGGAAAAAAAAAAGAAAAGGAAAAGACTTAAAGCATGTTTAATTTCTGTTTTAAAAATAATTTTTTGTTTTTAAAAATATAATATAATATAAATTCATAATTACTTTGGTCTTCATCCATCCTCACAAAAGATAAACTGCTGATGTTGTTGTGAATTATTATTGACCATGAAGAGC